TTTTTGTATCTGTTGAGATTTGCTTTGTGACCAAGCATGTGGTTGATTTTGGAGAAGGTTCCATGGGGTGCTGAGAAGAGGGCATATTCTTTTGAGTTAGGGTGGAATATTCGGCAGATATCTATTAAGTCCATTTGAGTCATAATGTCTGTTAGTTCCCTTATTTCTCTGTTAAGTTCCTGTCTGGAAGACCTGTCCATTGGTGAGGGTGGGATGTTTAAGTCTCCCACTACTAATGTATGGTATTTTATGTGTGATTTAAGCTTTAATAATGTTTCTTTTACAAATGTGGGTGCCCTTGTATTTGGGGCATAAATATTCAGAATTGAGACTTTATCTTGTCAGATTTTCCCTGTGATAAATATATAATGTCCTTCATGATCCCTTTCGATTGATTTTAGTTTGAAGTCTATTTTATTAGATATTAGGATAGCTACACCAGCTTTCTTCTTAAATCCATTTGATTGGAAAGTCTTTTCTCAGCCTTTTATTCTGAGGTAGTGTCTGTCTTTGAAGTTGAGATGTATATCTTGTATGCAGCAGAAGGATGGATCTTGTTTTCATGACTATTCTGTTAGCCTAGGTCTTTTTATAGGATATTAATGACCAGTAATTGTTAATTCCTCTTATTTTTGGTGATAGTATTGCATGTTGCCCTTCTTTGGTATTTCTTGGTGTGGGATTATCTATTGCATGTGTTTTCATGGGTATATGTAACTTCCTTAGGTTGGATTTTTCCTTCTAGTGCTTTCTGTAGGGTTGGACTTCTGGAAAGATATTGTGTAAATCTGGTTTTATCAAGGAATATTTTGTTTACTCCATCTATATTGATTGAAAGTTTTGCTGGGCATAATAGTCTGGGTTGGCATCCATGGTCTCTGAGTGTCTGCATAATGTCTGTCCAGGACCTTCTGGCTTTTAGAGTCTCCATTGAGAAGTCAGGTGATATTCTTATGGACCTGCCTTTATATTTCACTTGGACTTTTTCCTTTGCAGCTCTTAAATTTTTTTCTTTATTCTGTATGTTTGGTGATTTGATTATTATGTGGTGAGGGGACTTTTTTTTTGGATCCAGTCTATTTGGTGTTCTGTAACCTTATTGTATCTTTATAGGCATTTCCTTCTTTAGGTTGGGAAAGTTTTCTTCTATGATCTTGTTGAATATATTTTCTGTGCCTTTGAGTTGGTATTCTTTTTCTTCTATCTCTATTATTCTCTAAGTTTGGTCTTTTCATGGTGTCCCAAATTTACTGGACATTTTGGGTTATGACTTTGTTGGCTTTAGTGTTTTCTTTGAGTGATGAATCTATTTCTTCTCCCATATATTTAATGCCAGAGATCTGCTCTTCCATCTCTTGCATTAGGTTGGTTATACTTGCATCTATAGTTCCTGTTCGTTTACTCAGATTTACTACTTCCAGCATTCCCTCAGTTTGTGTCTTCTTTACTGTCTTGATTTCAGTTTTCAAGTCTTGAAATGTTTCCCTCACTTGTTTAATTGCTTTCTCTTGGCTTTCAAGGGATTTACTGATTTCTTCCCATTTTTGTTT